GCTCCCTTTTTTACGGCCACAAAGAGTATGTGGCCGACTGAATTCAGCTGGACACTCGGTGGTTGAAGACCCACTGTGTGTGAGAGACTGGCACGGGTGCTGGAAATATGGGTGTAATCAACGGTGAGTTAGCAAGCCACTCCTGGGTCCCAGTTCTGTTAGTTTTGAACAAACCTGTGAGTCTGGTATGTTAATGTCCAATTTATAGTGAGAAACTGAGGCTAAGAGAGGTGAAAGGACTTGTCCGAGGTCACAGCCCTGCCAGTCTATAATCACACTACAAGTCCAGGCTACAAGTCAGTGCAAGGCCTAGAAGATTCAAGAGTGACTACGTGTATGCATGCACACGCAGAGGTGCAGGGGGCAGGAGTGAAGGAAGAAAACTCGTGAAAGATTTCAAAGAACAAGTGGATATTTTCCAAGCAGACAAGGGGGTAAAGGGCATTCCAGGCAGAGGGACCAGCATGTGCAAAGGTCAAGTGGCATGGACTGGGCCCAGTGTGTCCATGTAATCCTGCTGGGGACGAGGCACTGAGGCAGAGGCTGTTACAGGGAGCAGGCTGTGGGGACGAGGGGGAGATGCTGAGCCGGTTCTGGACACTCGGAATCTGAGGAGCCTGAGGTCGGCCAGCTGGAGGTGGCTGGTGAGAGTTGGACATCAAGGCTGGAGTGTGGAGGAGCTTAGGCGGGTGTCCCCAGCATGTAGGAGAATGCTAGTGCACAGGGGATGGTCTGGGGAGACAGAGGGATGAGGACCGTGAACAGAAGCCCAGGGAGGGCTGAGGAGTCTCACCAAGGGGGCGAGGGTGCTGGGAAGGAACAGTCAGGAAGGAGGGCCAGGAGAGGGTGCAGAGGAGTTTAAATGCAGAGGGCAGTCCACAGGGTCACTGCTGCCGCCCTAGAGAGGTCAGGGGCAAAGAACCAAAGACAGCTATTGGGTCTGCCCATCAGAGGAGGCTGGTGCCCAAAGAGAGAAGGCTTCAGTGAGACGGAGGGGGCTGAAGCCAGGTTGGGGAGCTGGAAGGGGCCACAATAACGCAAGGGAAGGATCCTTACACCAGGGACAACAGACAGGTGACTCCACTCAGCAGATGTGACTTCTAAGCTGTGGTGTCCTGGAAGACGACTGGGGTGGACGGGAGGTGGTGGGTGCCTCGTGGAGGTACTCACACCCTTGCACCTTGGGAATCTCAGTATTTTCAGCTGTAAAGTGGGGGATGTCTCCACTTCATAGGGTTACTAGAAGATAACATACATAGAAGGCCAGGCACACAGCAGGTGCTCAACAAATGTTGCTCCCTTTCCACATTCAGATGTACATAAAACATTCAGAGAGATGTCATCACACAGGCAAAAGCGTGAACGCATGCACAAACCCACGTTCCAATCCACACACATGTGGGAGCTCTCCGAGGACAACCACACATGGCCCTCCACCCCTAGTGGAGTCTTTAGGGAGTTAGTAGGGGTGGGGGGCGTAGATGAAGCCCCCCACCTGTCCAGATTTCCCACCTGAGCACAGAACCCTGCCGGTAAAAAGGAATCTCCCCAGGAAATAGCAAGGGCCCTGGGGACTGGGGACTCAGCTCAGCTGGGGCTAACACATGGGCCCCCATGGCCTCTCAACCTTGAAGGGGCCACCTTGGCATGAGATCGAGAATGCTGTAGAGCCCACCAGAGCCCTAATCTCCCAGCCAGGAGGGCAGGGCATGTGCAGCAAGGCCAGGCCATGGGTGGCAGCAAAGGGATCATGAGAGGGTTGGAGGAACTAGAAAGATGGGGGTGGGGTGGGGTTGGCTGGCAGGGAAGTTTCCTGATGTTTGGGGCCTGCCTCCTCTGCTCTTTCCCTCTCCCACCCCTGGCATGCCCCACCATACCTGTACCTGAAGTCCAAGGCAAATCAGTGCCCTGGGTCCTTCTCACTCACCCTCTCCCTCCCTCCCTCTGCCCCTGTCTCTGATCAGCCCGCCTCGCTGCTTGCTCAAATTATTGTACCCAAAATGTTCTAACGCCCCTCCTGTGGCCCCACAAGCACCAGCCCTAAAATACAATGCAATGTGGGATTAGGCTGTTTAAATTTGAGAGCTTTCAGATTGTGAGGCCAGGATGAAACCCCGGCTTCCCGAGGATGCGCTGGGTCATCTTTGACACCCCCAGGGGTTCTCAGCCCTGTGCTGGTACAAAGCAGGTTGTCAATGAATGCTTGAGGCTGACAGATTCTGAGCCAGGGAAGTTGCCTGGACCAGGCGCCTGCCTTGCCAGCCCCATGTCTGGGTCACAGGAGAAAGGAAATCTGATAAACCCATTCATGCTTCACCACTCCCCCCCCCCGCCCTCCTCCCTCCCTCTTCAGTCATTTGCATTTTCAATTCAAGTCAGAGATAGAGACCCAAGTCTCGCTTCAATAGCAGAGCTTTGATCCACTTAGTTAAACAAATATTAGGAGCCTTGGGACACAGGGATGCTGGTTGAGGAAGAATGAGGGATTTCCTCCAGCCCTTTCATTTCACAGATGGGGAAGTTGAGGTCTGGAGGAGGAAAGTAACTTGCCCAGGATGAGAGGGCAGAACATAGCCTGCATTCGCCCCCCTGGCACCACAATTCCACTCCATCGCTCTCTCTCCAGCTGCTGCCTGTGCGCATCACGCTCACACCTGACCTTCCCGTGAGAAGTGAGTGGGCAAGTGGTGCGGCCTGGGGCTCGGGGACAGCGAGATGGGGCATGTGCCGGAGGAGACAGGCAGAGGAAGGCTGGTGCAAATACACAGAAGGTGCCTTTACAGAATATTGACGTTGTCCTTGTTGCGACTGGGAAAACTTCACCTCAAACTCAGCCCCGACTCTTCTGCTTTCCTCTCTCCCAAGGCTTCCTCTCCCTAGTCCTTTCCTTCTCCCTCGTCCAGATACTCCTCCTCCAAGGAGCCTTCCTGACCCCGCAGCAGAACCCACAGTTTGCATGTTGTCGTGGTCATCTGTGGTTTGGTTCAGTGTCAAGGCTGATGACACCACACACACACCGAGAGGGTCTGGAAAGGTTTATTATTTACATAATTGAGGTCTCTAGCGGAGCAGGGCCGGCCTCTCAAGCAGGTCCGAAATGGCTTGAGAGAGCAAGGAAAGGAGGTTGCCTGGGGTTTTATTGTGGTTAGGGAGTGAGGTCGGGTGCGTACTTGTGCGGGAAGGGGTTTACATGGTTTGAATCTCCCAGGGACGCCAAAGGAGGAAGCCCAGAACCCAGGCTTTCCTGTCGGCTTGTCCAGGTGGGAGGCACAAGGGGAAGAGGGAGAGGTGACAGCTTCAAAGCTGTCAGCTGTCAAACATCAAAAAACGGACTCAGACTCCTCATCACACATGTTATTCACATGCCCTTGTTTCTCTCTCCGTGTCTACATTTCTAGGCAGGACCCTTCTGCATCGGGAAGAGTTGACATGACAAAGTCAACTGAGGGATGAGATGAGGATGCGGATGATAATGTCACTGAAACCAGAGGATTTCGAACCTTTGACATGAACTTGGGATTTCTCTTCCTGCATCTCTCCAGCCCAGAGACCCTTCAGTCTCCATGTCTCCCTCCACCCCCCTTCCATCTCCCCCAGGTTTGAAACTCCCCCACATTCCTTAGCTTGGGTCCTCCCCCTACCAGGCACCCCTGCTCCCGCGCCCACATTCCCTCTGGACACTCCCCTGGAGTGGAAAAACCATCCCTCATCCCTTTCCTGCTCCCAGCCCCGGGATCGGACATGCTGGTCATTCCTGTTTGGGATGGCCATAGAGATAACGCCTGACATGGAGCCCATCTGTCATCACAGGACTCTCAAAGCTATTTCAGGCGGGACCCTTGCCCACAGTGTGTCCACCGTGGCCCCTGAGGTCCCGGCACTGGCTGTCTCCCTTTCTTCTGGAACAAGGTGGAGGACCCAGCAGCCGCCAGAAGGAGAGCAAGGTGACCATTCAACTTCCATCCAGATCAGCTTCCTGTTCCTTGACCTCAGACATCTCCTAACCCCTGGATGCTCTGAGCCACAAGGTGGGCCATGGAGAGAGGCTGGGTGGCTCTGGAGTCACAGTTTGGGGACAAATGCTGTTGTAAAGGCAGACAGCAATGAGTGTCCTCTCCCCAAACACCACAGAGAACGCTGTTATCGCAGCTGGTTTTGTTTAGTTATGTCTGGTTGTCTCACCAACATCTGCCTAGAGTTTCTCTCTTAAAGACACAGCTGTGGTCAGTGGCTTCCAGTCCTAGCTCTGCCTCCTGTGAGCTGCGTGACCTTGGACATCCAGGTTCCCTCATAAGTCAAGTGGGGATGATAATCCTGACCTCACAGGGAGGCCGGGAGGATGAAATGAGAGTCTGCACATGAAATGATTCATAAGCTGTAAAATTTAGCTCAAGTCCCTTCCCAGGCTCTGAATCTAAATTTGTACGCCTAATTCTTTGTTCTTTTCCTTAACAAGGGCTCCAAATTGTACAAGTTTCAGGCCTCACCAAACCTAGATCTGCGCTGAGTATTGCACAAATGTTAATTATTAGCATAAGTGGTCAAGGAGGGCCCTAGATGGGGGCTGGCCCAGTGGCGTAGCAGTTAAATTCACGCGTTCAGCTTCGGCGGCCTGGAGTTCACCGGTTCGGATCCTGGGCGCAGACCTACTCACCGCTTATCAAGCCATGCTGAGGCGTCTTCTATGTCCCACATAGAAGAGCTACAACTCTACAACTATGTACTGGGGCTTTGGGGAGAAAAAAGAAAAAAGAGGAGGATTGGCAATAGATGTTAGCACAAGGCCAATCTTCCTCAAAAAAAAAGAAAAAAGAAGAAGAAGGGCCCTGGGGTCAGATAACACAGGATTAAAATCCGAGCTGTGTGGCTTTCACCAAGTTGCTTAACCTCCCTGAGCTTCAGTTTTCTCATCTTAAAACAGAGATAACACTTCAAAGATTGTTATGAGGATTTAACTTAATATATTTGTAAAGCACTTAGCATAGTTGCTGCTGCATAAGCACTTACTAAATGGTAGTTTTCTTCTTCTTATAAACTCTCAGAGATAGGAGCTCAAAACTGAACTCCAAGGGAGTGAACGCTGAGGGCTGAACTGCTGGACCTAAATAAGAAAGCTCCTTCAGCCTAGAGAAAAGGGGAAATGAGTCTTTGTGCTACAATAAGGGAAACTTGAGGTAGAGTAAAGTAAGTACATAGTGACCTCTTGAAGGTCCCTTTCAGTTCTCGTCTTCTGCGGATAACCAGAACTTTGGGCCACGCCCACCTTCCTCCACCTGGTGCCACCGACTACACACCTGCGGGGGCTGCCGTCACCGCCCTGTCTCCAAACACTCAGTCTGAGCCTGGGTGGGAGGAGGGGACCTTTGAAATTTTGCTGTGCTGGGCCCGGAAGGCAAGAGTGGAGAAGAAATGGGTCCAGTCTGGGCCCAGCTCCCTGGCCAGGCAGTGCACTCTGAGAGGCGACTCATTTCCACATCAACAGATACCAGAAGGCACAGCCCTTTGGGAAAACCGGTGTCTTGTTGCTAATTACAATTAGCGATGCTTGATTACTACCACTGCTAAATATCAGCCTGGCTTTGCTGAGGGACCATTCCCAGCTTGGATCAGAGTGGGTTGGGGCGGGTGGTCAAGAGAAAGAAATCTCGACAAGGGCAGTGAAGGGGCCGACCGCGAGGAAAAACGCCCAGAGATGGCCAGCCGCCTCTCAGGGACTCACAGCGCGGCAGAGGCGAGTCAGGCATTCCAGCCAGCGGCGCGCGGGTGTAGGTCCTAGATGCGCCAACGGCGGGGCTCTCCGGCGCGGCCGGCAGAAGTGGCCGCGCCTGGAACGGCCTTTCCAGCAGCAGTAGTAGCCGCAGCAAAGCGGCCGGACAAATCCCACCCACGGCCCCGCCCGTCCAATCCATCTTGCTCGAGAGGCAACGCTTCTGGGGAGAAGCAAGGGGCGGGGAGGGGAAATCCAAGCCTTTTGGGGCTCCCGGCAGGTGTTTGGGGGGGAGGGCGGAGTCGGGTTAGGGAGCATGAGGAGGGAGGGGCAGTGCTGCCCCTTTAAGAGGCGGCGGCGGAGCCGGGACCTTTTCCCTTTCCCCGGAAGGAAAGCGGAGCTTGGGCTGGGCGCGCAAGGTGGGGAGGTGCGGGTCTGGGCGTGGGGAGGCGGGGCGCGGGGGGGGGGACCCCTCCCTCGCGTCCTCCTTGCGGTCTACCGGTCTGCCTGCTGAGATCCGCCGCCGAGCCCGGATCGAAGGCGGCAGTGAGGCCAAGGGGGCGCGGCCGGGACGAGCTGGGGTGCAGGGTGCCCCGGGCGGAGGGGCGGTGACCCTGCAGCAGGGCAGGCGGGAGAATAGACCGCGGACCTCCAAGGGGGGATCTGAGAGCGCAGACCCGGAGCGGACGTGAAGCTGACTAGGGCTAGGGGCTAAAAACGGATCAGCGCGGCGGGGCTCAAAGACGCGGCCGGCCCGTGTGTTCTGCGGGGGCGCGGGGAGCAGGTGAACAGGTCCTCATTCCCAGCTCCACGCCCTCACGCGTTCTTGCCCGGGTCCCCGCTCCCGCCCGCAGCCATGGGCCCCGGCCCCCGCCACGGCTCCCGCGTGCAGCACCCGATGCTCTGCGCGCTCGCCTTGATGGTGGCCGCCGGCGGCCGCGTCACCTCCGCCTTCAACCTGGACACCCGATTCCTAGTGGTGAAGGAGGCCGGGAACCCCGGCAGCCTCTTTGGCTACTCGGTCGCCCTCCATCGGCAGACGGAGCGGCAGCAGCGCTACCTGTAAGTGTGGCTGGCGGGGTTGGGGTGGGAGACAGAGAGAATGTGTGTGCAGGGTGCGGATCCGGAGCAGAGTCGCAGCCCCGGGCCCGCTGGCTTCCGGGCCCGCTGGCTTCCAGGCCCGCGGGCCGCCGGCTCTTGTGAGCGAGGATTAAGGGGGCGGGGACCCGGGCAGCTCGCTTGCTGCCGAGGCTTGGCGGGAAGTGGAGGGATTGGGTGTGGGATGGTGGGCAGTAATCACTGGCAAGTGCTGACCCGGGCAGTACCTGTCTAGACGCAGCCTCTCAGCTCTTTAAACCTCTCTTGAGAGCAGAAGTGGGGTCGCCGTTTCCTGAGCCCCCTCCCATTCTGTGAACCCAGTGTCTACCAAACCCCTCTTCTCTCCGAGCTGGGAGCTGGAGAAAACTGTAAGATAAACACCTAGTGGGTCCGCCTTCCCCCTTTCCTGGGGAGAACCTATAGGCATATGCATTTAGCCCACCCCTGCCTTTACACCTTGAATTTAGTCTGCGGCCATGCCAGCCACACCCCATGCAGAGCCAGACTGGAGGGCCTTCTCAGCTGCTTGGCGGTTGAGGGTGAAGTGATGGGTGAGTCCCCGTGTTTGGAGCTGTCCAGGCGCCCCCTCTGACCCCTGGAGGATGAGGGAGTAGAAGAGAGAGGAGGGGCTTTCCCAACTCCTGCCCCAGCAGCCCCCAGCAGTGCAGCCCTCCCACCAGTCTTCTTCCCTGCATTCCACAGATTCATGTTGAATCTTCGACCCTGAGTGTGTTTGTTTTGGTTTGAAGAGGGAAATGGTGTTTTGTTCTGTTCTCCTTCCCCAACAGCTGCAAGAAGGAAGGGGAAGAGCTAGGCACAGGGGGAGAGGGGAAGGAGATTGCATCCAGCTGCTGTGTCCCTGCCCCCCTGCCCCATACACACTCATGCCCAGAGGGGCATGTCCAGGTTTCAGAGGTTTCTCTGCTAGGGGCTCAGTGTGCTGAGGTTGGCAGTTGGGGGAAGAGGGCAGCTGGGGGAGGTGAGGCTGCCCCAGGAGGGAAGGTGGTTAGGACAGGTTAGGCAGGCTCCATCTACCTCTTTGGGCTGAGTGAACTACCAGACATCAACCCCCACCTGGTGTCTAACCCTGCCTAGCAAGAGGACGTGGTCAGATAAATGGTGTGTTGAAACCTTTCCCAACTCTGGCTGGGGCCTGCAGAAACTTGAGGAAGCTTGGAATGTCCAAAGTCCAAACTCTGCCCCAGCCTTGGCCCCTGCTCCGCTGGCCCAGCCCCTGCCCAGTCTACCTACCTACTTGGCCTCAGTTCCATCTAGCTTCCACAGAGGCTAGGGCCACCACACTCTTGCCAGCCTGACCCATCAGCTGGCGTCTGGCCTTGGTCAACCCTGCATCTTTTGGAGACCCTAGGTGACCACCAGCACAAGTTTCTATACTGGTGCTCTTTCTGCCCCATTCCAGAAAAAGATCTTCAGATTTTCAGTGCTGAATCTGCATGATATAAGGCAACATAGTGTAAAGAGATCAGAAAAGCAGAGTAAATAGTGGAAAGCTGGAGTAAATAATGGATTCTGCAATCCCCCCGCTCCCCGCCTTTGCTATGTGACCTTGAGCAAGATATTTCCTTTCTCTTGGCCAGTTTTCTCCGAAGGGTTGGACCTGGATCTATATGCTCCTTCCCACCTCTGGTGGCCTATGAGAGGCAACTTGGCATCGTGGAGAGAGAAGAGGCTCCAGAGTCCCATTGCTAGTCTCCCATCTTGGATCTGTCACTAATACTTGCGTCTTAATTGCCTCACATGTCGGGGAGTGCAACACGCCTTCTTCATGTGGCGGCAGTGGGGCTTGAATAAGTAATGTGTGTAAAATGCTCTGCATGTGCCTACTTCTCCAAGGAGCAGCTGAGGGCTCTGGTGCTAAAGCCAGGACCTGGATCCACTCTCGCTACCCATGGGCCTCCCCCAAGATGGCTGAGCAGAGGAGTTCTACTTTTCTTCCTGGGCAGCTAGAGATGGCATTAGGCCTGCTAAGAGCCCAGAAGGTTCTAAAACTACTGAACCTCAGAGAGGCAGGTAGTTCTAGATGGAGTTCTGGGTCATTCTCTTGGGTATCATCAGTCTTTCCCAGGGATGGTTCTATATCTTATCTCCTCATCTCACTGAATCCTGCCCCTTGGCCCTTTGGGAGAGCCAGCTGGGCCAGCTGGGCTTAGCTGCAGCCAGCTGTGTAGCCAGATGTGAACAGCTGCCTGAGTACACAGCTCGGGGGAACCAGCAAGTCAAGTTGTGGTCTTATATTCTGTTAGCCTCAAAGTCTCTCTGGAAAAGGTAGAGGGTTCATGGTGCTGAACAAACTCTGAGCCTGGAGTTCACAGAAGGTTGTCAGGAGATGCAGGGCCCCCTGAAACTACATGCAAAATCTTGTTTGTTTGTGCATTGTTCTGGGGGAGAGGGGAGGAGAGCATAGCTTTCATCATATTGTCAAAGAAGGCCTTATTCCAGAAATGGTTAAAAACCCAGGTGTGGACCCTCTTTGTTCCCCATCCCCTACATCTCTGGACTGGGGTTCCCTGCCCACAATATCGGAGGCTCACTCTAACCCAGGCCCCAATTTCCCGGTCTTTATAAGTGAGGGGTGAGGAGCAGGGCAGAGGACCAAGGTGCTTTGGGCTTCTTGATGAGATGCATGAGGACCCCTGGGGAAGAGAGGGACTGTTTCTCTGGGAGATGGTCACCGACCCCCCGGCCCCCAGCACCTGCTCTGTCATTCCCTCCTGGGACTTCAGGTGTCCTGGTCTGGCCTGACCTTGTGGGCTATGGGAGACACCTCTGGGGCCCCCTCTCCCTTTCACCCTTACCTGGAAATGAGGGTGTCTGGAAGCCTGGGGCGGAGGTGGCTGCGGCTCCTGGAAGATGAGGTCATATCTGAGGTAGGCAGGAACCAGGCTTACCTGCTGTGCTCTCCTAAAACATGTTTCCCTGGGCAGGGCAGGCGCCTGGCAGCCTCCAAGGCTCGTGCCAGAGGAAATGGGCATAGCAGTTGTGGCTGCAGGCGGAAGGCCTGCATGTGTAGTGTCCTTTTCCTCTGGCTCTCTCCAATGACCAGTCCAGGCCAAGGAGCTTTAAGTTGGGCAGGAGGTAGGAGAAGCCTGATCTTGTAGAAAAAGAAGTGAAAGGGACTTGTTCAGAACTAAACAAAGGGGGAAGAGGATGTCCATTGCAGTAAGAGGGAGTGAGGTTAGATAACATGAAGAACACCCTAAGGGATCAAATATGAAAAAAATACTAAGGAGCCAGGGAGAGGGAGAAGAAATAAGAAAAACAGCCTTTTTCTTTTGTATCGCAAGCTTGGGCCAAGGCCTCTTTCTCTCGCCCTCTCTCATTCTCTCGCTTCCTCCAGCTTGTTGCTCTGCTTCTAGGGCTGAGTCACCAAGGGGAGAGGGGGCTGGGTGGGCAGCGTGAGAAGTAGGGAGGACGGAGAGGGCTGCAGTTTCAGCTACCACAGGAGCAGCCTCTGGGGAGATGGCTAGTTTGGGCAGCAGGATTGGCACAGAGCTAGGATCCAGGCATCTGAGAGGGGCCCCCACCAGCACCCCGAGGCTCAGAGCTGGAGCGGCCCCTCCCCAACCTGCTTCCCAGCCTGAGGTGGGGGAGTAAGGCATGGGGGCCCGCTGGCCTGAGCGCTGGGCCCTCTGGGCCCAACCAAGTTAACTGAAATCTTCCCGCTGGAGCCACCCCAGCACCTCCCTGAGGAGTCTGGGAAGTTGAATCTTACAGGCTGTTTCTCTGAGCATTAACCCACCCCAGGGGGCCTCTTCTCTTTGGGGTGAGCCAACCTGGTGCCCTGACACCCCTGGCCCCCATTCCCACCCTCCTCCGACTACTGCTTTCTACTTGGCTGTTCCATTAGCTTTGAACTGCCCCGGGAAGAGGGATGGGGCAGGGGTGAGGAAGTACTTTTCTGGAACTTGGAGCTCAGGGGGCTCCCCAGAGGCCAGGAGGGCTGTTT